CCCCCCCCCCCACCTGTCCCACCTCTCCATGAACCAAAACTAGAGCACTTCATCGCACCCCCTTCCATCTCATTTGCGAGTAAACAGCTCTGACAGTGAGAGGGAAGCGAAACACTGACGAGTTCGTTTGATAGCCAAACACTGTAGCGAGAGGGGGGCCCCGGGCGAGGCAAGGTCCAGGCGAGCGAGGGCTGGGGCACCAAGGTTAGGGGGCCCTGGGCCAGCCTCGCTTGGCGAGCTACGGCCCCTAGTGCTCCTGGACCCCCGTGCCCAGCCCCAGCCCAGGAGCACGACGGCCACGTCGACCTCTACGTACCCCGGTAGCGTTGGCTCGCGCTGCTCACATTGGACCAGCTGGACGAGGAGGCGCTGCATTCGGCCATTCAAATCAGGGGGGTTGATCACCGTGCTGGAGGATGAAATGGAGGGACTCAACTCTCCAGGTCTCCAGCTGGAGCCTCCAGATCTGGAGCAGCCCGGCGGCAGCGTAGGGCGGACGCCACGAGCATGCTGACGACGTCCAGCTAATGCGGGGACTGGGGGCGCTCCACTGGGCGCTCGCACGGGCTGCTTGAGGGAGCTGAGGCTGTTTGTCCACGGTGAATGTAGGTCTGCCAAGTGGCCAAGTGGGCGCCCCTGTATCGATCAACCCAGCGGAGCCACCCTCACCCCCCGCGGGGATGGGGGTGGGAGGAGGGGCGGGGCAGGGGGCGCCGAGCGCGAAGCAGCGCGGAGGGGCGGCCTCGGAGCCACTGGATCCAGCCGACGCGACGGAGGGGTGCGGGACGTGCGGGACGCTACCGCGACACCATGACGGCACCACGCACGCACGGTGGCTGGCACAGCTGCCTGGCGCCGTGACCGTCGCCACCTTGCGAGCGCCGATTACCTCTGACACTCGGTAAACGCAGGTGTTATTATCGGGAAAATAAGTGGGTTTAGCCATACGAAGAGGATCCAGGGAGGCTCTAAGGTCGGTCCCCCCCTGTCGTAGCGAGCCGAACTCGCCCGAGCTAAACCGAGCGGCCGCCGAGCGGTTCCGCACAGGACGATCGGGAGCCCTTTCCTCCTCTCTCCCACCATCGAGTCATGTCGGACAGAGCGCCAAGTAGCGTGCGACGAGCACTCTCCGTGGGGAGGCGCATGTGGAGCTGAGTCTGCACACTCGCCTCCAATTTCCGTTTTGCGGGTTCGAGTCCCACCTGGTCCCTTTATTCTTTCGGCTTCTGAGGAAGTATATCAGTATGACAGGTGGGGGTGATGCACCCCGTGACCTTTCCTGCATTCTCAGTGCACCGCATGAAGCTGTGCGGACGGTTTTGCCCATTGTCACTCGCCCGGCGGCTCCCCGCCCCCGCGGTGCACGTTTTCCTAGGAGGGGGTATGCTTGACTCAGTAACTCGTTCCTTTGGTGAGTAAAATGCATTCAAACAAAACTGATAAATAAAAGTTGGCCGAAACAAGCGAAAAGGTTTTGTTTTTCGATCGCGCAGACGGAGTGCGACCCCTGCCAATGCCTTCCAGGCCTCTCCGAAATTGCATGTCTGTCAATTTGATATCGCCGGGGGGCGATGCGTAACACATGGCCTAGCACATGGCTTCACCCACGCTACACGTGAGAGCGGCTCTCCGTATTTTCTTCTCGCTGGGTGGACTTTCAACCTGCGGACTTGCGGATGACGCTCGAGTATGGGCTCGCGGAGCTCTTCAAACTTCGCGGGCTTCCGTGATTTGGTGTCTGAGAAGTTCTACCAACCAATGAATGAAGCTGTTCATTTTTTTCTGGAATTTGGGACGCTGCACACTGGTAAAAAGACGTTCAAAATACAATTTTTACTAAATCAGTTGTTGTATAAGGTATGGTTGGTCACTCATTTACACAAATCACGACGAGAGTATAGATCGGTCAATACTGGTCACATGGAACGTAAGTTGGCTGCAATGGACTTCCGTGAATGTGCATTGTCTGTAGTTGAACGGACCCTGTATCGATTTTAATGAAAACACGGATGGCTGTCGAGGTCAACTGTGTGTGTTGTGGTTGTGATGTGCGTGGTTTCAACTCTCGTCGTTAAGCTGGTCCTTTTAAACTAAAATGAAAAGTATTTAGGTTTTACGTAGCAATTTTAATTATGCATTCAATAGTATACACGGGTAGACTTCTGTCTCGTGCGATATGGAATGGAATAACAAATTATACCACAAGTTCAACAGAGGCCCAAGTGTGCAGAAAAAGGGAACCACATTTAGTTCATGCCGTTTGTGGATTTCCAAAAGACTTTACTCACACTATTCTAAAGAAGGGCCAGTTCGGTGACGATGCGTGGTTCCACGCCCTCAACAAGGCCTCAGATGTCATTGGTAAGTTTTCACAAAAATCTAGGTCTGAATGGTTGGTGCAATCATAGGTATGATGTCTCACCATTTGACAATGAAAACACCACAATTCTTCCTGGTATTTCGCAACAACGTGTTTTATCACTTGATTTGAAAATAAAATTCCGATTGAATGAATGGTGAAGGGTAAAGAACACTTTTAAGATTATTAGAAAGTGTGGGTGAGCTGCTGTCATGTGACTCCAATAATAAAAATTGTCTCAGTGGCTTACTATGATTTCAAATTGAATCTTCTGTGTGCTTTGATTCATTTTACAATAATTCAAATCATGTATGTTTGAACTACTCATTTTTGAAATTGAGAAATAATATTTTCTTTCAACTGCTTTTAGGTGTTGCTGATGGCGTTGGGGGATGGAGAAATTATGGCATAGACCCAGGAGAATTTTCCTCATTTCTAATGAAAACATGTGAACGCCTGGTGTGTAGTGGGAGATTGAAAAATATGCTCCCAGCAACACTGCTTGCCAGAAGTTATTATGAACTTCTTGAGAGCAAGCGACCCATTTTAGGTACAAATAGCTCTTTTTCCTTAATTCAGTCTTTATTTTGCTCTCTCTGTATGTCTACTCTTTTATAATTTTGTGTCTTGATTTTACAGGAAGCAGTACAGCATGTGTTATAGTTCTTAATAGAGAGAACTGTCAAGTATATACTGCAAATATAGGAGACAGTGGATTTGTTATTGTTCGCCATGGAGAGGTTGTGCACCGATCTGAAGAGCAACAACACTATTTTAACACACCTTTCCAGTTATCATTACCTCCCCCTGGTCGTAGTGGCTTGGTTTTAAGTGACAGGTAAAATACATGATACTCCTCATAAAATTTTGGCTTTTTTAAAGCGGAAGACTGTTTCACTGTACAATTTTGGTAATTTTATTTAAAATTGCATGTTTTTATTATTTATGTTTTGTTTTGTTTTGTCCCTAGCCCTGATGCTGCTGACACTTCAAGCTTTCCAGTAGAGGATGGTGATGTTATTCTTCTAGCAACTGATGGTGTGTTTGATAATGTTCCACAACAATTACTTGTAACAGAAATGACCAAACTGCAAGGGGAGAGAGACCCTTGCAAAATTCAAGGTGTTGCAAATGCGATTGCATGGATGGCACGCAACCTTGCTTTTGATAGTACTTTCATGTCACCATTTGCTGAAAGTGCACGCCATAATGGTATTGAAGCAGTAGGTAAGTGCCCTAAAAGTGATTCTTATCATTAATTAAACACCAAAATCAGTATTCATATACATATATTA